CTGGCGAATAGATCCTCGTGCCCCTCTTCGCTTGAACCCGCCGATCAATAGGCAAGCCTCGGACTTCGCGACCGTCCACAGCTACTCCCGTGACTAGGCGGGCAAACTCGAATAGACCTTCTCCGAGAACTGGAAAGTGTACACAACTTTCTTGTTTGGCGCTCCCGCTCAAACCGCCAATCAACAGGTAAGCCTTCAATCCCATGGTCGGCTTTACGCACCTTCCTTCAGTAGCATGAGCATCATCCCGGCCGCTGGTCGCTATATTACTGTGCCCATCATGGGCTAAATGAGTGTGAACCTTCCGCTAGACTGCGGACAGATGCATTTCACACTTTGAAGCTGACATCCCACACGCAGCCCCAACAACTCGCCGCTACTAACCGGCTTCCCCAATCCAGATTCTGCCTCCTCCAACGAGATCGCCCTGCCCCAACTCCTTAGTGCAGAGCCTCCTCTCACTCAGGTCGGTCGAGAAACGATCGAAGCTCCCTTATTTCTTCTTCCCTCTGTTTCCACCATAACCCTGGCACAGTGTCTTTCTCATCTATCTCTAATCTTGCTCTACTAACCTCAAAACTAACCGCACTATCCGTTTCGATCGGGGCAAAACCCCCGAGATCGCATCTTTCCCCACCCGATTTCGTCAAGAATCGGGTGCAATAGAAGATATCATCCTCCTCTACTCCCTCACTCCCGCCATATCCCGCACACCGTTTCTTCCTCCTAACTATGTTTCTACTAACTTGATAACTAATCTAACCTCATAGTCGTGTTCGCCCGGGGTTAAAACCCCCGGATCGTCTCTCTACTCGCACAATTCCGCAAGGAATCGAGCGAGCTATGCATATCCCGCTGCGCCATGCCCTGTCTCCACTCCGCCACCCCGTTCTTCGGTGTACATGCACCTGGCGCGATTCGTCGCCCAGGTCCACTCCTCTCCTTCACTGCCCTCACCCCCTGCTCCCCGACGCTCCACTCTGATACGGCATCTGGGCTGCGGGCGCTGTCCCTATCGCACGTCTTCTACCTCCTTCGCCTTTGTCCTCCCTCACTGTGTCCGAATGCACCTTCCGTCGGGGCCCGTCTGGATTCACTTGCCTATTCTCCTTCGTCCCCGTCTGCGCTCGATCCCTGTCTTAGCATTGTTCGCCCGACCGCTCCCCTGTTCCTCTGATCGCCTTTTGCCTCCCTACGCAACACCTCGGCTCCGGCTCTCTGTCGGGCGACAGTCCGACTAGGTCTTTCGCCGCTATTTCTGAGTCCAGCGGCGATTTGCACGGTGGTGCTCCTGCGAGCCCGCTCCTTTGCGCCCCTGGCGCCCGCTGTCGCCGATACGAGGGGCGATGCGCCGACCAAAACAGGTAGGTCCCTCCTCGCTATTGCGGCCTCCGCAGGCCGGATACAACCTACTTACGAACACTAGCTGCGACCTTCATCCATACAACCCCGACCCCTAGCCTAGACCCCTAAGTCAACTGATACAGGTAGCGGTCGATGGTCAAGCCCGCTGAAAAGTGTGGCCTGCCTCAGGCGGTCGAGGTCACCCCGCCCCTTCAGCCTCTCAGCGGGCAAGCCCCGTTCCGACTCCTCATAGCAAGCCGTGGAGCCGAGGGCGCGAGCCTGCTATATGCCCTCGCGCGGCCCAGGTGAAACGGCCCGGTGCAGGTCCTTTTGCGGTGGTCGCAAGTATGCAAATAGCAACCTTGAAGGTCGACGGGGAGTCGGGTTTCCACGTAGACCACCCGTAAGTCAGACAACAAGGGGCGCATGCTCAAAGCCCTCGACCGCCGACGGCCTCCGATTTCGACGTCGCGGCCGAGTCAAGAAACACCGGAGCAAAATAATAATATGGCAATAAATAAAAAATATTTAATACTTCTTAACCGTCAAAATATGATGAACGAGGAGAAAGAACGAGCTACTACCATTCTTATGCCGCCAACGGCAAAACCAAGGGGGATAGCCCCGCCGGGCCCCTCGCGCCACTCTGATGCCCCCGCGTCGCTGCCGCTCGACCTCGATCCATGAACCCCCTTGACGAAAATCTGATACTGTAACCAATAGCGCTAGACCCAAGACTGGGTCTAGCTCTAGCGGACGCCTAAATAAACGGGCACTGCGCGGCGCGCCAAGCTACCGAAACACCTACTTGTTGTCGATGTCATTCTCCGCACGTACGCACAGGTCGCAGACTATCACATCAGTCAACGAGACATAGTCCTTTTAATCCCTATTTAATCAGACGAAAAAAATCCGGTCGGCAATCACGTCGATTCCTCAATCATCAATCAATTAAGAAGATCACGCACGCCTCAAATCCGCGCGCCCACACACCCTTTACTCTAACCAACCATCCGGTTAACGTAAATCACAGACACAGCCGCGCCCCGCGCGGTATACTTAAACCTTAAACTAACTTATTTTCCTGTCACTTGCAAAATCCAGGGCGGATACCCTTGTAAGGGTATTCGCGCCGACAGCGGCGGGCGGAGGCGGGCACAGGACAACGGGGGAGGCGGCGGGCGGAGGAGGTGGCGGGAGGAGGCAGGCGGAGGCGGGCAGAGGTGGGCGGAGGCAGGCGGAGGCGGGCGGAAGCGGGCGGAGGCGAGCGGAGACGGGAGGAGGAGGAGGCGGGCAGAAGAAGAAGAAGAAGAAGAAGAAGAAGAAGAAGATTGATTGATTGATTGATTGATTGATTGGAGGCGGGTGATGGCGGAGGAGGCAGGTAGGACACCTCAATCAATCAATCAATCAATCAATCAATCCGTCGATCTTGACGGATCATTTCGTTCATGATCTGTTGATATCGACGGATCGTGAACGAAATGATGATCCGTCGAGATCGACGAATTGATTGATTGATTGATTGATTGTATGGGGCGGAGGACGACGGACGAGGCGGCGGGCGGAGGCGGTGGGCGCAGGCGGGAGGAGGAGGTGGCGGGCGGAGGCGGGCGGAGAGGGGCGGAGGCGGGATAAGAAGAAGAAAAATAATAAGAAGAAGAAGTTGATTGATTGATTGATTGATTGATTGATTGATTGGTTGATTGATTGATTGGTTGATTGATTGGTTGATTGGAGGCGGGTGATGGAGGAGGAGGCGGGTAGGACGCCTCAATCAATCAATCAATTAGTGAATCACTCACTCACTCAATCAATCAATCAATCAATCCGTTGATCTTGATGGATCATTTCGTTCAAGATCCGTCGGTATCGACGGATCTTGAACGAAATGATCTGTCGAGAGCGACGGATTGATTGATTGATTGAATTGAATTGATTGATTGATTGTATGGGGCGGAGGACGACGGAGGAGGCGACGGGCAGAGGCGGGCGCAGGCGGGCGGAGGTGGGCGGAGACAGGCGGAGGCGGGTGGAGACGGGCGGAGGAGGTGGCGCGCGGAGACGGGCGGAGGCGGGAGGAGGAGGAGGTGGGCGGAAAAAAGAGAAGAAAAAAAAAAAAAAAACAGTAGATTGATTAATTGATTGATTGATTGATTGATTGATTGACTGATTGATTGATTGATTGGAGGTGGGTGATGGCGGAGGAGGGGGGTATGACGCCTCATTCATTCAATCAATCAATCAATCCGTCGATCTCGACGGATCATCGACGGATCATTTCCTCCAAGATCTGTCGATATCGACGGATCTTGAACGAAATGAGCCACCGAGATCGACAGATTGATTGTTTGATTGATTGATTGATTGATTAATGGATGGATGAATGGATGAATGGATGGATGGATGGATGGATGGATGGATGGATTGATTGTAAGGAGTGGAGGACGACGGAGGAGGCGACGAGCACAGGCGGGCGGAGGTGGATGAAGAAGAATGAAAAAGAAGAAGACGAAGAAGAAAAATGAAAAAGGAGAAGGCGAAGAAGAATGAAGAAGACGACGAAGAAGAACAATGAAGAAGAAGAAGGTGAAGAAGAAGAATGAAGAAGAAGAAGGTAAAGAAGAAGAAGAAGAAGAAGAAGAAGAAAAAGAAGAAGAAGAGGAGGACGAAGAAGTAGTGGACGACGAAGAAGAGGACAAAGAAGAAGAGGACAAAGAAGAAGAGGACGAAGAAGAAGAGGATGAAGAAGAAGGACGAAAAAGAGGACGAAGAAGAGAACGAAGAAAAAGAGGACGACGACGAAGAAGAAGAAGACGGAAAAGAGGAGAAGATGGAGGTGGACTACAAGGACAACGACGAAGAAGAAGTAAAAGACGAAGAAGAACAATTTTGAATTTGAATTTGAAAGAGCGAGGCCAATCGCTACCCGTCCATGCCTTAGTGATAAACAGAACAACACCTGCACGGACACTCAGCTCAACGCGCACATTCCCCGACGCGTTTCGCCTGGCTCCGCACCAGGACTTCTCAAGGGGCATCCGCTCTCCAGCATCCACCGTGGCGATCCTTCCCAGAGCAAAGAGGGTCGTTCTGGCCTTGCCCGCAGTCATATAACAGGCCCAGCTTCCACGTCCGCACCCGCGGCCCACGACGCTGCAACTGACTGGCGGGTGTCGACTGGACTCACTCGTAACTGACCTGGCGTGCACGTAGGCAAGCCCTTCCTTCCAACAACCTCACGTGTGCGCCTCCACACGCGCTAAGTATTCAAATTTGCACGTGCACTGGCTGTTGGTACGGGCTCCCTGTTGCGAAAAGGGCTCACAGCTCTAGCTTTTATATCCCAGGCCAGATTTATGCACTAGATTCATACCATTCTGAACCCTCCAGACCACAAACCGGTTCCGACACTACTGGCCCCGGTGACGCTAGACTCTCCCTACTTCCTACTATCCTGCTATCATAGTATACACCCGGTGCTATTTGATACCGGCCTACTTAGTTACTACCTCATATTCGTTTCTCGTCTACCCCTGCCTCCTGTCTCTCCCCTTAGTACGTGTCAGCTACCGAACTACACCCCTTTTTTTTCCCCCACCCCGGGCCCATCTTTTCCTGCTATTAACCTACAGCCCGGTTTTACTTTTTTTGGGGGCTCTTATCTTACTTTATTTGTACAACCCAGTCGTAACTAGGACCTACCACCCTGTCTCTCGCCCAACCCTGCTCGGCAACTACACCTAGCTATCTACAATATGGTACACGAGCGCTTCCCCATTCCTTCTACATCTCCTTCCCTTGTAGCACCTGTTTAGCGTCCTTGCTCTTCTGCTTCACCTCGAGGTGCTCAATCTTCAGTGCTCCAACCAGCTGTTCGGTCAGCGCTTTCATCGCTGCCCCGAACGAACCGGTGGCTCTGGCRRATACCGTCAKAGCATTGGAGAARAGCGTCGGGGGGTACCCCCGGCGCTTCAGCTCAATGCTAATGGAGAGCGTCGCTGGGACTCCCGTTGCTGGGTCACTAGCATGGTGCTTGATCCTATGTAGTGCAGCCACTACCGCACCTGCCTTCACTCGCTTATCAGAATATGAAGAGAAGTCATGGAAACATCTGAAGGCAAGGGGCTCCTCMAGCGTGGCTCCTTCATTTTTATGTCTGGGGCGAATGGTGAACGTGACCGGGCCTGGTAAAGCTGCCACCCTCATTCCCTGGAAATCCCAGGAGTTGGAGCCATCATCAGTTCRTACCAGCACCARCTGCTTCYCATATGTCTCCTCAAATTCCTRACGGATAGCTTTCGCWGCCTCTATACTCCGGCAGYYATACATGTCACATGCCACCACTACTGTGACGTCGTCCACCAATCTGACCCCGTGCACCAGCTTCTGATCAGCACCCAGYGAGGTTATGAAGTCAACCTCCTGCTTCGCRCATAACACACACGCTAGCGAGGGGCTGGAACTCTTCCCCATCGGTATCCCTACAGCCTGCTTAAGGATCTCTGCCCTGCACATAACATACGTGTTGTCCAGTTCAAAAMTGACCATTCGCCGGATCTGGCTAAAYTTGACAACCACGTAACCTGGTCCAAGGCTCCTCTGGTTGAGAACCACAACCCTGCCTCGCCTACTAAGGCTCATCTTGAAAACACCTTTCACCTCCCACTGCTGCAGCAGCCAGTCCACAGTTAGGGCTATCGCATGGTGTGGCAGCGATGTGAATATCTCCTTGATGTCAAAACTAGCTGTCAGGGCCATCGATCTTTCTCCGGACACACTGAGTTTCCGTCCGGTYGCTTCCAGATTCTCTTTCAGCAACGYTGTAGCCTTGAGGTTGAAGTGTCTGGCTTTAGGTACTTTTTCAARCAGRRAGTTGAGCGYGYRTGCTAGCCTTCTCCCTGCGGTCTTTGCGCCTTCTGCACAAGCTGGCGCGATGGGYCTCCACCTCGTCAGGTCCTTATGCTTGGGCAAGACATATGCTTGTCCAATCCTGGTTGCCGGGTTTCAGGCCCCAATCGCATCAAGGCCCAGTCTTCTGAACTCCGTCTTAATCTGTATCAGAATATCATTCTCAGACTTATCCGGGATCTTCTGGTAAGCCACATTCTGGTTGAACATCAACTAGAGACCAAAGTGGTATGTGGAGGGACACATGACTACCATGTCCCCATAATTCCTGTCCAGTGGGACCACCACCAAGTGGCTCATCGTTGCCTCGCGCACTTGCTTTTCTGAGGACGCCAGTCTCGTCTTTGCTCATTCTGATATGCAATCCTGAAAACAGGGCTGGTCTATCAAGTGAATCTGGTCTCTCTTCATAACTGCTTTCAAGAATCGTTCCACTACCTGTTGCACCTCTGCCTGCCTGGCATCTCCTTCACTCTGCAGAATATTCTTCCCGTTATGCAGAAACGTGGGAACCATTGGACACTGCGCAATGTGCGCCAACACATGCCCCTCTTCCCTCGGCAGTTGATCCTGGCCACAGGTACAGTGTCCACTCTCCATCGTTGCCACCATTCGATGGTTGGCGAGCACCTGCTCCACTGTCTTGTTTTTCTTCCACACCACTCTCACCCGCCCTCGTAACACCGTCTTCAAAATCGGGTGGATTCTGCTCTTGTTTACGCATAGCACCACAGTATCATGTAACTTCCTCTTCTTCAGCCGATGGCTATACTTCACACCCACGTTAACCTTCATCCTGATATTTACACCGGTCCTCTTCCTAATTACTGCAACGATTTTCTCTTTGAGGGCCCTCCTCGTAGACTTGGTCTTGAACTCCCTTGCACATCTATATAAAAACACCAACTTAGGTACACTGAAGTACTTAAGTTCCGCTTGCTTCCTCGGAATATGAAGTAGCAGCCGCAAATATCCTTTACCTCGACACCTTGCACTCATGGTCTTGATAATCGGTGTCACTTCGAATGTGCCTCCTCTTTCTAGAAGTTGCTTGGACCTTCCCAGGGGATGCTTCTCTCCACCGCCGAAGACGGTCGACGTTCCGAACAACCTCCTGATAATCGACCATTTCTCACCCCACACCTCGCCGCCAGATGACACAAACTTCAACTTCTTCGTTCCTGTTGCGAAGGTTTCCTCTAACAGTTCAACCAAGATGAAATACCGCCTCTCCCCTCCCGCACGTAGGAAGGACAAGAGCCCTGTTCTCCCTGCTGGCGCAATTGTCCTTCCCTTCATCCTTTCTTTCTTACCAGGCCTTGCCTTGCGCTTCGCCCCAGCATTTCTACCGACCACATTAAGTGTCGGCGAGAATCTACCTATGAGAGATTTCTCTAGCACCTGCAGTCCGTCCCTGGCTCCCGTCGCAATAGGGAGGACTAGGTACTTCTGCCATCCGAAGACTTTCAGAAAAGGATACAACTTGGGGGCGTGTCCTTTGTTACCAGACACAGTACATCGGATATGTTCCCACCATCTTTCCCCCGCTTCGCGAATCGTTTGCCCTATGTACATTTTCTTGCACCAGGGTGACAACACGCAGTACACTGCGGGCCCTCTTATCATGTCCTGCGGGGGTAACCGTAAGCATTTTCTGAGCCCACGGGACCAACCCACTCACCACCAGCAGAAGGAAAATTGCAATCAGCATTTGCTCAACATTAATCCTCGGATTTGTTAAGCCATACGTCCCCCAGACGGTTTCCCTGAGCCCCATATATAGCACGAGCTTGTCCCAGAGGTACCTCGCTGGGGGGGTACACCGTCAAATAGCATGTGGCGCTGTGTCAACTCCCTACAACATATCTTCCTTATTACTCCCGTTGCTATCCGCTCCTGTGAGCCAACCATCGTACGCCGCCCTTGCCTCAGCTGCCGCCAATTCCTTGACCGCCTGATCCTTCAACACCCATTTTATATTCTTCGTCTTGCACATCTGTTTAAGTTCAGAGGCATGCTTCCCTTGCAAACTCTCACGCATCTCAAGTACAAAATCAATCACCCTTTGTCTGGAGCATGAGGCTACTACTCCTTTCTTCCTTGCATCAACATTCGCTGGTTCCTTACCCTTCCTTGAAACCGCTGTCCTTCTCTTGGTGATAGGTGCTGCAGTGCTCCTCTCAATGACACGTTCATCTCGTTCGTAGTCATCGAGGTTGAGCCTCCTCTTCGGGTTCGGATATTGCTTAACACTGGGTCTTCTTGGACTCTCCGGGTCATCTCGTTCCAATAACCTCCGCAGACTGTCGTGCTCTTCTCTTCAAATGTTGTCAGCGTCATTTGCACATGCTCTTTGATCTTCTCTTCCAGGGCAATCATCTGCTTGGTGAATGCCTGCGCCGCTGTTGCTTCCATAATCGCCTGTGCTCGTCGTTTCTCCGCTTCCTCTCTTTGATTCGCTTCTTCCTCCTTCTGTCTCTCCTCTTCTTATCACTTCTTCTCTTGCTCGACTCTTTCCTTCTCGGCTGCCTCCCGTTGTTGACTATCAACGAACATGAGTAGTTTGTTCATCCGATCGTCTTCTTCATTTCCTTTCTGCTGATTGTAAGTTCTCTGTCCGTAGCTTCCATGCGCCTGTCCTTGCCCGTACCTCCCGTTCTGCTTATGAGGGCAATCACGTGCGAAGTGCCCGTACTCACCACAATTATAACATGGCCCTCCCGGTCCCGTTGTTGGAGGTGGGGGAGGGGGAGGGGGAGGTGGGCCAGGGTTGTAGGCAGGTCCCCCATACCCGGCTGGGTAGGGGTTCGATGTCGACTGCGGAGGATACATATCAGACTGCAGGGCTCCGTCGACTGCACGTCTAGCTGCGAGGCAGCTTGTCTTCACAGAAAACTCACTTAGGATACGTCAACGTCCAGAACTTTAATCTCCTCGTATCTTCTCCGTTTCTCAACCCCAACCAACTTTACGCGAACTTAGACGCACTTGTCTTCTCAGTACATAATACAACACGACCACCCCACGACGCAGTCTGACAGTTATTCCAGTTGGCTCAATCAGCTTCCCGTCTGTAAGCAACCGTCAACCAGAAGCTAATCAGTAGCATCCCCGTCTGTGCTCTTCTGCCCCCGTTGGTGTTCTACCTGCCAGCCACCCGTCTTCTCGAACGGAAACTCGATGTCTCCACGTAATCTCAATTCTTAGAAGTCCGTGACTGCTCACCCGTTCTATCTTGGTCAGTTACACTTGACAAGATCAAAACTCTACTCAATCTTAAACAGTAACTGAAGCAACGCACGTGTCTTCTCAGTTTTCCAACTACGACCAGTTGCGGACTCACTCATACCACGTAACTCATTCCCTACTTACACCGTCTTTCACCTCCACTCTTAACCGCCTCACTTACGTAGCGTCAGCTCGTATTCCGCCCTGATTAGAAGTACCACCGACGCGTGCTCGCCTGCAAACTCAAGTTTTTCTCTTCAGCTACTATACCTGTCTAGACTTCACCCCTCCTTAAGAGTCAGGTAATACGCTATCCGTACTAGCATCCTTGTGACGATGGTCGTGGCAACCTTACCCTGTTGAACGTTAAGTAGAAACTATCATCAGTTCTCCTCTGGTACAAATAACTACCTACATACAGTCAAGACACAAGTACCGCCCTTAGCCCCCCGATAACGTACAACAACAAAATTCCCACGAGAAATGAAAGTTGAAAAAACATTCCATAAAAGAAAAATCATGTATATTTATAAATTATCGTTTCAATGTTTGTCCAATTCCAAAATTTTCAGTTTTATTTGATAAGTTTCCGTCTAAATATGATCTTTCCCTTCCAACTACATCCATTTGTTTAACATGGAATGAAAAGTCTGGACGAGTTTATCAAATGTTTTAATTCAACTTTCATTCTACTATAACAAATATCTTCTAATTTAGATTGGATTAACCTATTTATGACTGAAAATCCTTAATTAGAATGACAGTCCAATTAAAATATTTCATGAACTCATCCTGACTTTCATTCCATCTCTAGCATGCAGTTCAAATAAGAAGGGATACCCCATTCTTGGAAGGAAAATTTTAAAGTAGACGGAAAATTTTTAAATTAGAATGACATTTTTTAAGCTGGAATGAAAATTTAAAATTTAGAATGTAATTTTACTATAGAATGATTATTTAATTCCGGGAAATTTTTCTGTTTACAAAGCAAAAACCGTACAAGCCTATCCTCCAAACCCTCTCTCTCCTTTCACACATGGACATACATCAGAACCTTACAGCGACACTTTCTCTCCTCCTAACATACACAGGGTCCACCCTTAGCACGCTGTTACCACAAAAACTAACTCCGTTAAGAACAACCCCCGATCACTTTCGCCGCTCGCGTCTTTCGCCCGTCTCCACCACGCCCGACCAGCGTCCGGCCAATCACTCACCAGCTTATCATACGCACTTACAATTAAATATGCACAGTTACACCACGAAAATAGTAGCACTAATAACTAACTACGTAAAACCCCAGTCTCACCACTGACATACTTCCTTACGTATACCAAACTTGTCTGTCCAATGTAGCTCGCTGGGTGTCTGTTCTACGCTCCATACGTGGCGTCGTATGCTTCATACCAACTACTGAACATCTTTGCTCGGCGTTTCTCGCAACACAGACAATCACCTGAACTTCTCGCTACCATGTGTATCGGGCATCCCCCTGCCGCGACCTGTCGCACGTCTCACCAGCTGGAAAACTGCGCCTTCCTGTACGTCTTGCTGGAACTCTTCACTTCAACCGTTGAACGTGACCGTCTGTCTAATGTAGTTCGCTAGTGATCAGCTCTATGCCCTGTATTCACCCCAAACTGATCTTCTCAGCTCGACACTTATCTCTACAAAGACGATCACTCGGAACTCACACTAGCGCGTGTATCGAACTTCTCCTGACCTCGACGTGTCGCACGTCTCTCCAGCCGGAGAACCACCCGTCTTCCTGCACATCTTACTAAATCTCTCCCCATAAACTCACAGGGCAGCTCGTTGAAGAACCACACATCGCTCTACTCGCCACTCCGTAACTACGATCGTGTGGCTCTCTGCTCACCTTGCAGGAGCTCTCACCTAACCGTTGAACAGAGCCACCCAAGTAGCTCGTCAAAAACTACGTAGCTCTTTACTCACATCTCCGTAGTTATGATCGCCTGTTCTCATCGCTTTTGTATGCGTCATACATTAAGCGGTACATACCACCCTCCGGGTATTGTTGGCTGTATCTACTTCCTCAAAGTTGGACATTCACTATATCACCCGTCAGCTTCTCTTCGCCAGCTCGTCACACCTCACCGTTGTCATTACTGGCACCTTGTCAGCATTCTTTTCCTAATTCTACTCGTAATATTCACCTTTCTTTCTCTTAAACCTATCTTCGTCTCCTTCCTCTCTTCTTACTTTCATTCTCTGCTCGTAACACTCTATGCCGATGTAGACGTAACCACCAGGACGAGTACGACCACTCGTATGGTTGTTGCGCATTCAAGAATTTCAAAGAGTGAGGCCAATCGCTACCCGTCCATGCCTTAGTGATAAACAGAACAACACCTGCACAGACACTCAGCTCAACGCGCACATTCCCCGACGCGTTTCGCCTGGCTGCGCACCAGGACTTCTTAAGGGGCATCTGCTCTCCCGCATCCACCGTGGCGATCCTTCCCAGAGCAAAGAGGGCCGTTTTGGCCTTGCCCTCAGTCATATAACAGGCCCAGCTTCCACGTCCGCACCCGCGGCCCACGACGCTGCAACTGACTGGCGGGTGTTGACTGGACTCACTCGTAACTGACCTGGCGTGCACATAGGCAAACCCTTCCTTCCAACAACCTTACATGTGCGCCTCCACACGCGCTAAGTATTCAAATTTGCACGTGCACTGGCTGTTGGTACGGGCTCCCTGTTGCGAAAAGGGCTCACAACTCTAGCATCTTATATCCCAGGCCAGATTTATGCACTAGATTCATACCAATCTGAACCCTCCAGACCACAAACCGGTTCCGACACTACTGGCCCCGGTGACGCTAGACTCGCCCTACTGCCTACTATCCTGCTATCATAGTATACACCCGGTGCTATTTGATGCCGGTCTAATCAGTTACTACCTCATATTCGTTTCTCGTCTACCCCTGCCTCCTGTCTCTCCCCTTAGTACGTGTCAGCTACCGAACTACACCCCTTTTTTTCCCCCCCACCCCGGGCCCATCTTTTCCTGCTATTAACCTACAGCCCGGTTTTACTCTTTCTGGGGGCTCTTATCTTACTCTATTTGTACAACCCAGTCGTAACTGGGACCTACCACCTTGTCTCTCGCCCAACCCTGATCGGCAGCTACACCTAGCTATCTACAATATGGTACACGAGCGCTTCCCCATTCCTTCTACATCTCCTTCCCTTGCAGTACCTGTTTAGCGTCCTTGCTCTTCTGCTTCACCTCGAGGTGCTCAATCTTCAGTGCTCCAACCAGCTGTTCGGTCAGCGCTTTCATCGCTGCCCCGAACGAACCGGTGGCTCTGGCRRATACCGTCAKAGCATTGGAGAARAGCGTCGGGGGGTACCCCCGGCGCTTCAGCTCAATGCTAATGGAGAGCGTCGCTGGGACTCCCGTTGCTGGGTCACTAGCATGGTGCTTGATCCTATGTAGTGCAGCCACTACCGCACCTGCCTTCACTCGCTTATCAGAATATGAAGAGAAGTCATGGAAACATCTGAAGGCAAGGGGCTCCTCMAGCGTGGCTCCTTCATTTTTATGTCTGGGGCGAATGGTGAACGTGACCGGGCCTGGTAAAGCTGCCACCCTCATTCCCTGGAAATCCCAGGAGTTGGAGCCATCATCAGTTCRTACCAGCACCARCTGCTTCYCATATGTCTCCTCAAATTCCTRACGGATAGCTTTCGCWGCCTCTATACTCCGGCAGYYATACATGTCACATGCCACCACTACTGTGACGTCGTCCACCAATCTGACCCCGTGCACCAGCTTCTGATCAGCACCCAGYGAGGTTATGAAGTCAACCTCCTGCTTCGCRCATAACACACACGCTAGCGAGGGGCTGGAACTCTTCCCCATCGGTATCCCTACAGCCTGCTTAAGGATCTCTGCCCTGCACATAACATACGTGTTGTCCAGTTCAAAANTTTATGTCTGGGGCGAATGGTGAACGTGACCGGGCCTGGTAAAGCTGCCACCCTCATTCCCTGGAAATCCCAGGAGTTGGAGCCATCATCAGTTCGTACCAGCACCAACTGCTTCTCATATGTCTCCTCAAATTCCTGACGGATAGCTTTCGCAGCCTCTATACTCCGGCAGTTATACATGTCACATGCCACCACTACTGTGACGTCGTCCACCAATCTGACCCCGTGCACCAGCTTCTGATCAGCACCCAGTGAGGTTATGAAGTCAACCTCCTGCTTCGCGCATAACACACACGCTAGCGAGGGGCTGGAACTCTTCCCCATCGGTATCCCTACAGCCTGCTTAAGGATCTCTGCCCTGCACATAACATACGTGTTGTCCAGTTCAAAAMTGACCATTCGCCGGATCTGGCTAAATTTGACAACCACGTAACCTGGTCCAAGGCTCCTCTGGTTGAGAACCACAACCCTGCCTCGCCTACTAAGGCTCATCTTGAAAACACCTTTCACCTCCCACTGCTGCAGCAGCCAGTCCACAGTTAGGGCTATCGCATGGTGTGGCAGCGATGTGAATATCTCCTTGATGTCAAAACTAGCTGTCAGGGCCATCGATCTTTCTCGGAACACACTGAGTTTCCGTCCGGTTGCTTCCAGATTCTCTTTCAGCAACGCTGTAGCCTTGAGGTTGAAGTGTCTGGCTTTAGGTACTTTTTCAAGCAGAAAGTTGAGCGCGCATGCTAGCCTTCTCCCTGCGGTCTTTGCGCCTTCTGCACAAGCTGGCGCGATGGGTCTCCACCTCGTCAGGTCCTTATGCTTGGGCAAGACATATGCTTGTCCAATCCTGGTTGCCGGGTTTCAGGCCCCAATCGCATCAAGGCCCAGTCTTCTGAACTCCGTCTTAATCTGTATCAGAATATCATTCTCAGACTTATCCGGGATCTTCTGGTAAGCCACATTCTGGTTGAACATCAACTAGAGACCAAAGTGGTATGTGGAGGGACACATGACTACCATGTCCCCATAATTCCTGTCCAGTGGGACCACCACCAAGTGGCTCATCGTTGCCGCTAGCTCGCGCACTTGGTTTTTTGAGGACGCCTGTTTCGTCTTTGCTCGTTCTGATATGCAATCCTGAAAACAGGGTTGGTCTATCATCTGGATCTGGTCTCTCTTCATGACTGCTTTCAAGGATCGTTCCACTACCTGTTGCACCTCTGCCTGCCTGGCATCTCCTTCACTCTGTAGAATATTCTACATGAAAGACCTCACGAGTTGCGGCGGCTGGAAACATCACTGATTAAATTTATCAACGATGACCATCATTAGGCCCAACCCCCAAAGAATGCAGCATAAGGCTATACTTTTTTTTTTCAACAACATAGAAGTTAATGGTAGTTTAAAATATTATTATTTTTTTGATACGAAATAACTTACCATATATATTAATTAAAATCAAAATAAAATTTATACTTCCAACAATAAGGAGAAAAAAAATTAAGACATTAAACATACAAAGAAATATTCTTTGAAAGCTCTATGAAGTGTGGCTCAGTAAGGGAGGAAGGGGTCATTTTCCAATATTGTATGAATATTTTAAAAATAAAACCTTGTCATTGCTATTTTCTCCCCCCTCACCCTCTCTCATTTTCTTGAATACCCCCTCCCCCAAGGTTGTATAATCAAACGAACCATAATGAAACTTTATCATCACTACACTATCCACTGCCTTGTTGTTCCTTCTCAACGTTTCCTCATTCACCAACTCTACATTGAGGAGGTGGTAAATGAAGGAAAGGAGAAGGGGGAAGAGGTGGAGGAGGAACAATGAAAGAAGAGGCATGAGGCGAGAAAGGAACAAAAGAAGGATAAATGAAAGGGGAGTATATATGTAAGGTGGACAATTGAAGACAATTTCCTTGAGGAGTGTTTGGTAAATTGATGAGTATGGCAAATGAACGTCTTGGGCGGCAACGAAGGGGCGGATAGGGACACTTTTGGAAAGGGAGATCCAAAGTATTCAAAAATTTAATTTGGCAGTTGTTGAATGACTTTGGGTACAACAAAAGCTCCCTTGGTCGTACAGGGCTTCCAGACAAAGAGAATTCAAGAGTCTCCTTACTCCACATAGCGCGACAAATTATGCGCCTTGTACTTCAAACTAGGAGCATTACAACACCAGTGCATTTGAGCCTCTTTTTGATGAGGCAGACTCCCCCTACGCACCAAGCTTTGACAGAACACCAGCGCAACAATTTTTTTTCCCCCCTTTTCAGCTGGCACACCAAGCCATTTTGGTCCGGTAGCAGCGTTCACCCGAAATTCGTGGGTCGGCTCAATTTCGATTCTCACGTTCGCATGGGCGACGTGCTGGCTGCTTAGCGCCAAGTCTCACAGTTGCTATGTGAATGTAGAGCGGAACAAGGCCCTACCGGTCTACCCAGAGCACAGAACACACCAAGTTCAGCAATGGCCCGGGTGGAATAGCAGTCCACAGCAGGACTTCCCTCATTCCGCAATGTGGCTCAGAACCCTTACCAGGGTCTTTGGAATGAAGGGCATGCCCCACAGTGCAATGTTAGTGCTATGCTATAGCGCGAATGTCGCACCAGCTTGGCTTGGTGAATGTGGAGAGTGGAACGAAGGCCCTACGGGTCTGCCCAGAGCACAAAAGACAACCAGTTCACGAATAGTCACTGCTCGAATAGCCAAACTCTCCATAGTACGGCTTCCCTCATTCCGCAATAAGGCTCAGAACGCTTACCAGAGGTGCTTTTGGATGAAGGGCGCGCCCACAATCGTACTTTCCTGGCTGGATGTTCCGGACTGGAATTCGACCCCGATTCCTTTTGATTGAATACGCTGTAAGCCGATAGCCCCGTGCGTTTGGAAGTCCAAAAACCGCGTGCTTCCGATGGACCGTAGGGCCCGCCCCATACTTTTCACGGACAGGTCGTCTTTGGGCCTCGCAGCACCGCTCGCCGAACGCCCTTTTTCTGAACGAATCTGGACATACCGTCCCGATACGTTCCGAATGTTGGGATTTAGCGAGTGATGTGGTGAGGCTGTTTGTCTTGACCCAGTTCGTAGGCCGGGCGGATGGTACGTGTGGGATCGGGTTGTGAGTCGCTCTTTCCCTTCATCCCTGGTGCTCGGGTTTGATCTTGCCCTATATGCCGCATTCCGACTCATCGCGCCGGTCTCTCTCGGCGGACGTTGTAATCACTCTTCGCTTGCGTTTCGCCGGAGCTTGTTAGAAAGACAGCGACAATGGTACGTAGGTTGACGTCAACGGCGCGCTCCTCTCATAGAATGCACGCATCATTGTTCGTTTTTTCCGTGTGGTGCCACTTGGCCCTGAATTGCACGGTTTGGATGTGATCTTTTGAGTTTGCTGAGCTATGGCGGTGGCGGAAGGAGAGGGAGGGGGCCCAGATTGGGCCGGTAAGGGCGGATGATGCATGGTCATGGCTGTCGTGTCCAGCACGCATTCGGATATGTCGGGGAGGAATGGGAGAGCAGGAGCGAATTTGTATAAGGGAAATGAATACCCTAGTTGTCAGTGCGGGGAGTGCTCTTTTGCACGTGTCCCTTGCAAAGGGATTGAATTCCCTCGGTAGCCTTTCTTGCTGGCTGAGGAAGCTAGCTATGCTAGGGTATGGGCTAAAGTGAACGTCTTCTGTTATCCTCGTGCGTGTGCTCCTGGATGTTCTGCTGCCTTCGGTCAAGTTGATGTGGTCCTGTTGAAGTTGCTGTTGGTTCTCTTGATATTGATATTTCTGAGCTTCGTGTCCTTACGACGCCTTTATACGATTGTGGTGATCTTTGTGGTTTGGCTGCAGGGGATTGATCTTATCGCCGGTGGTCGTAATAAGAGGACCAAGCGTACCGCTCCCAAGAGCCAAAATGTTTATCTTCAGCTGCTTGTGAAGGTACATGCTCCACTCTTGATTTCTATTTGTGCTTCTAAATGAGACTCGTGAAACAGGGGCAAATGACATCACATGTAATCGCTGCTTGAAAGAGGTCATTACCTGACCGGCGTGGTGTCTGGGAACGAACAAGAGAGTTGCTGTTGGCCAGCGGAAATCGCAATATGTCTGAACGTGGCGACATGGAAATATTGCGTGGAGATGGGAATGTGCCAAATGATGACAAACGGCATCGCTTTCGATGGCGGTTTTGATGGAGAACATCGGAGGTCTATCACAAACCGAACAATTTCGGCGAGCGAAAGCTAGTTCGACGACATCTGGATAGCAGAATTGGTTGTGTGGGACAGGAATTGTATGGGATGTAGAGGATGGAAGGAGAATGAACAGGTGTTACAGGAAAGGGCGATTGACGATATCCGGGTTGTGGTCGTGCTGATCGGGCATGTTGTATGGCAATATGTCGCTTCAGGCCGGTGACCGACCTTAGTCAGGAGGGTGGAAATGTTGATGAGGTATCCATGAGTGAAGGGCGAAGGAGAAGTTGGGATTGGCAATGAAACACTTCTGCCGGGTCAGTGGTGACCCATGGTCGACGGTGAAAACGTTATAAATGTTGTGATGGATGGCTGACGCTGGAACGCTGGTTGCTGGTTGGACCCGTTTTCTCTGTTAGTCATGAAGCCGGACTGGCTTCGGCTGTCGTACAGTGAGAGCACGCACCTAGTCGCGTGTGGTGGATGAACAAGTCTGGGTACATCCACGAGTCTGGGTACCATATGTGTTGTTGAGACGACGCGAGCAACAGGGCGTGGGCGTTGGTTTCAGTCTGTTTCCCGAATGCCGAGGACATTTCCGTGTAACACTACCCTATTTCCCCGAACACAAGGCATCATTTTGCCTGTACCGGACCGTTAATATAGTTTCTATACATTCATTAACAGGGTGCGTTATGTTCGTTGGAGGATGGGAATTTCCGTCAGGGTGCGGAGTATTGTGGGTATAGCGGTCTATGTCATCTCCTGAGACAATCGCCAGTGATCTGCAACCTGTCGTTTCACCCTAGTTAAACATCAAGTCGTGTTCACTGTATCTGGACTGGTTGAAAACGATGCCCTATGGAGTCTGGAAGTGCCACCAGAGATACGGCAATAATGACCGGGCGTTGTATTTGGGTGAAGATTGTATTGTTGATCTGATTGTCAACGAAGAAGATTGCCATGTAGAGAGTATATGTTGTATTAGCTTTTTTTTTTTGAAGAATGACCTTGCCTGTATTTGAAAACTGACCTTGCCTCTATTTGCATCTGGTTTGTTATTTGAGTGATTTCGACTTCTTACCTCCGGTTTTCATCGATTGATTTGTGTGAAGAATGACCTTGCCTCTATTTGCATCTGGTTTGTGATTGGAGTGGTATCGAGTTCTTATCTCCGGTTTTCATTGATCGATCTGTGTGCAGCTGTATCGGTTCTTGGTAAGGAGGACAGACAGCTCTTTCAATGCTGTTGTCTTGAAGAGATTGTTCATGAGCAAGACGAATCGGCCTCCTCTGTCATTGTCCAAGCTCGCGAAGTACATGGAGAACAAGGTAGGTCCCCTACCTTCTCGCAGTGAGCTCTGGGTTGTTCTTATGTCGTAGATGCTATGCGTTCCGTGTTATTTGGATGTGATTGTCTAATCTGCTGAAAGCAGATCTTGAGACACTTGGATCTATGAGGGTAAGACTTTTTTACAGTGCTCGCATATCGTAGAGCACCAGGGATAAGGCTGGGATATGGAAGAAAATGAGGCGGGTGATGTGAAATCAACGTTGTTTTAATTCGGGAGTTCCAACCCTACCTTCTTCCCCCGAATACAACGTACGGTCATTATAGCTGTATTTGAGGCATCTTTCTGTCTTGATACAGTCATAATCACCGTACGTTGTATTCGGGGGAAGAAGGTAGCGTAAGTTGATGTGTGTAATAACGATGGGGATAGGGCTTAGGATCACCATCTCCGCACACAGCTCATGTGAAACGCGATACGCTTGCAGTCTGTAAACTACTTAGTGTACTCGTGGGCAGATTTAATTCCTTTTCCGTAAGATTCTACCCGCCTTAATGTTTGCTGATTGATTAGGGTCCCAACCCTAGCCGAAGTTGATGAGTGTGTAGTAATGATGTGGTTGGGGCTAGCTGCACAGCTCAGGTGAAATGCAATACGCTCCTGCAGGAAGTTTATCAGTGTGTAATAACGATGTGGTTGGGGCCGTTTGCTGATTGAATAGGGGTACAACCCTGGCGGAAGTAATGTGTTTAAGAAAGATGTGGTTGGGGCCAGCTGCACAGCTCAAGTGAAATGCGATACCCTCCTGCAGGCAGTTGACGAGTGTGTAATAACGATGTGGTTGGGGCCATAGCTGCACAGCTTAAGTGGAATGCGATAGGCTCCAGCAGTCCGTAAGCTTTCTCGCATGCAGATATGAATTCTGTCGCCGATAAAATAAACCCGCCTTGATTGATGTTTGTTGACTAGGGTAATCCCAATGTGGAGGAAGATGGTCATGAATGACAAGGCGGTATAAAACGGAAGGCGAAGCAGGTTTTTATCGTACGACAAGCCGTGTCGCCGGTTTCTCTCTTATGCTGATCAGAGCGATATCCTGATTGGTTGTGGCAGACCGGATTTGCCGGCCTGCATTATATCGATGACTGGCAGACCGGATTTGCCGGCCTTGATTATATCGATGACAGGGGCCAGGCCGAGACCTAAACTAGTTGAACCTCCCTGTTCATGCATCTCTGTTGACGCTCCTCGGTGGTTTATGTCGCTAATGGCGATCGATTGCTTATCGCGAGTGCGACTAGTCCGGCGTGTGTATTTTGTATTGTGACCAGGATTGGATTGGCTGTGAAGGCGAGACAGTCCTGTTGTACGTGCATGTGTAATCGTCTGTTTCGCGTGTTTTTGTCACTTCTACTGATCGATTGCTTGTCGCGAGTGCGACGTGTCGTGTCGGGTGTGTATTTTGAATTGTGTACCCTTTTCGTGTAACCTTCCATGTGTTACTACGTTGTTTTTGTCATTTCTTGTGATCGATTGGTTATCGCGAGTGTTTTTCACTTTTTGCGATCGATTTCTTATCGCGAGTGGGATGTAGTGTCTAGTGTGTATTTTGTATTGTGATTAGGATTTGTTGTTGATATTACATCTTCCGTAATGTGACTATGATGTCACGCGCCTGATTGTTTGGTTCTTTTGACGGATGTCTTGTGCCCTATATATTCTCTCGGGGATTGGGAAAGCGTGGCGCACCGTTTCTTGAGAGTCTTGCTCACCTTTTTTGAAGTTCAATCTGTCCTTGTCTCATCAAGACGGTAATGATATTACATCCGACCGATTTTCTCTACAGTCCGTATTCTGCAGATAGTTTGGCTGTCACGCTAGCTCTATATTCATTTTTGTTTCTGTTGTGATAGGCCTAGCGTGTTCTTAATGTATTTTGCCCGTTCGTCCACATGGAATCGTGTTATTTCCAGTCGTTGCCTTTCCTTTTTTTTCCTGGTCGGCTTTGCTCGCTGTTTTTCACTAGGGAACTGATTGGCGGGTATGGATGGGTAACCCTAATTGTATCCAATGTCTTTGTCTCTCTCAAGGCCCAGTTTTATGGAGGTATTGTTCCTCTCCGTTACCTTGTATGCAGTGCAGGGGTCTCTTTCCTGCCTTCCGTCTAGCTGATGATTGTGGTAGTCCCAATGATGAAGAGCACTTATTAAATGCAGCAGCATAGAATCATTGGAACGTTGCCTTAAATGATGTTGAAGATGTTCTTTGTTCGCAGGCTAACGTTCTCTCACGAACGTAACGCACCCTTATGATGAATGCAAGCAAGCTATATTTCTGGTCAGTTGCAGCCAAAGTGAGGTTCGTTGTGTTCGGCGGAAGACGGTAGGGCGGGGTATGGTGTAGGTTTATGACTGCAGGAAGTGAAGTTTTGGAAAACCCTTCACAGAAGATCTGAATTTGTTTTATGTACGTGTCTAAGTTTTCGCTATGCATGCCGTTCTTTGTATTGTGTTGACGCTCCTCGGTGGGCGTGTCAATCAATCGCTACTCCTCCCGCGGCCGGAGGGGTCGTTGTGTGGCGTCGATTCCCCCCCCGCCGGGTATATAACGTGGGGGGTCATTATAGCTGTGTACTTGGAGAAATTCGCGGTTTGGATACGGCGATAATGACCCTTCGGTTATTCGAGGGAAGAATGTGGCGGGGGTGTTTTGTGCACGGATTGTTTGCTTGTGAATGATTACGAGTCGGTGGGGGATCGATGTCTTGTAAATGTGTTTATCGTCTCAGATCCTAATCTGAGGGTGAAAGACTGGATCGGGAAAAAGGGTTGGACGATAGATTGTTGCGTACAAGGTATGAACTTGTACACGTTGTTGTCTATGTTGAGTCTATGAGTCGTGTTGTATACTAGACGTGTTGTTGGCTATATTGCGTCTATGAGTGTATGCTGATCCTCTGCTCCCGTCGTTTCTCTCCTGATTGTAGCCGGACCATATCGCCGTCATTGTGGGGACTGTCACGGACGACGTCAGACTGTATGAGGTGCCGAAGCTGACGTTATGCGCTCTGCGTGTCACCGAAACCGCCCGTGCAAGAATCCTGAAGGCGGGAGGAGAGATTCTTACGTTCGATCAGCTGGCTCTCCGAGCGCCAACCGGGTCTAAGACGGTGGGTATACGATATGCAGTCATCTGACCACTCACGGCTTTTTCTTACGTATTAATAAATGAAAAAAAGAGAAATGTCTTATTCATTCGACAAGATGAATCGTCTTATTCTTTCCTTAACGTCGTAATTAGTGTTGACGTCTGATGGAGATCACGCCATCACGACATGGACTCGCAAAAACTAGTACTCCTGGTTTATGTTTTTTCTTTTGCGTGGTTGATGATTGTTTGTGTAGTTTAGACTTGTTCTTAAGTTTGGTGTTTTTTTTTTAATCTGTTTTTGGTTTAGGGTTTTCTCTTTTGCCTGGTTGATGATTGTTTGTGTAGATTAGACTTCTCAAGTTTGGTGTTTTTTTTTTTTTTTTTTTACGTTTTGTTCGACTCCTGAATTTGCTGTAGTGTTTATCTTTCCTTGCGAATTTAAAAACTAGAAAAGACGGATAAGGTTGGGGTGTGGTGTCATTTTCTTGTGGCTGGTTTTCGACTGTGTAGGAGGCTCATTTTGGTGGTGTTTTTTGTCTTTTGGTGTGTTGATCACTGTGTAGGTATTGCTGCGCGGACCGAAGAACGCACGTGAGGCGGTCAAGCATTTTGGCCCTGCTCCCGGTGTGCCCCACAGTCACACGAAACCCTATGTCAGAGCCAAGGGAAGAAAGTTCGAGAAGGCGAGAGGAAGAAGGAACAGCAGAGGGTTCAAGGCCTGAGAAATGCCTCCGGCCGATCTATTTTTGTGCGACTGCAGGCCACCTCTCTCTCTCTCTCCCTCTCTCTCTGCTTACGGCGTTTCGTTTGCTCTATATGCGATTCAACACGTGCAGCTGCTCTGCTTGCCGCTGATCCTCGCGGCATCATCTTTTTCCTAAACCGCATCGTCGAGACCTGTGAATGGGATCTGGAAGAGTGGATGATCGAGTAGGTGTTGAACTCCTATCGGCCTCGGCTTTGGATGGGCTCCCTTCTCTGGAAGGGGATAATAACGTGATGATTACTAATATCCATGAATCCGTGCAAGAACGTAACGACTGAGTGAATGTTTCTTGTGGTGGACTCATGGATTTTCAGAATTGCCCTTATGGATTTTCAGAATTGCCCTTGTGAAACGGCGGAGTCAGTGTTGTCGAAGCAGGGTGAGGAATGCAATTCAGCCATTGTTGAAACGATTACGGGATAAAAGGCGGAGCTCCATTCGTATTTTGTGTCTTTCCGTTTGTGCGTTCCTTCTCTTTTTTTGTTTTTGTGGATTTCATTGGTTTGTGTGTCAAAATGAATCCGCTTTGTGTGAGAAAAAAAGCTGGGGTGGTCAAAATGAATCCGCTTTGCTCGAAGGGAAGGCAGTGAGCGAATTTGTGTTTTGTGAATTAATGGTCTTTTTGCGGGATTGTGCGTGTGAAACGGTGTGAGCGTTGTCCAAGTAGGGTTAGGAATGCAGTTCAGCCATTGTTGAAACGACTACGGGATTAAGAAGTGCTGTCTTTTGAAAGCATTCAAAGTTTCTTGTTTGAAATAATCGAAACACATCAAAATGGTGTTCGTCCATTTGTGTGTCCATTGCACGGGCTCTACATTTCGTTGTTTTGCCTGCCAGTGTCAACACGAATTTCCAGTTTTTGATTATGACCCGCACGAAAGGCGTAACGATCTGGGCGCTGTCTCGGAGAGAGACTCGGTGAAATAGACATGTCTGTGAAGATGCGGACTACCTGCACCTGGACAGAAAGACCCTATGAAGCTTTACTGTTCCCTGGGATTGGGTTTGGGCTTTT